AGAAGTAAAATATTTAAATACTCCTTTAAATGAAGATAGATACCTGCATTGATATATCGTAAATCATTAACGTTTATTGTGCTTCAATGTGGTTTAAATTGGTGCATACCAAGCACCACTCATGCTCACAGTTATTGGAAAACATGACTCATAGGTGCAGTCTTAATTGCAGAAATGTGGCTATTATCAAAGTACTGTTAATTTTCTGTGCTGAAACTGCAGATGGTGGGTAACCTGTGGTTTCATTCTTCACCATGCTTAACTGTATTCATGTTTTTCTGCTTGTTAATTTAAATCATTCAAGGCACAAAGGAAATGTTCGTAATATTCTGTGCTACTGAACCCTAGTTGCTCATGCCATTATTGGTAACGTACTTCCTTTTAGTCAATGCGCTCTGGACAGGTATTGAGATACAGGAAAAGATGACTAAAAGAGGTAAAGTTAAAGAGGTAGGTTTTGAGGCAAGCTTTGAAATTGGGAAGGGAGGGAGCAAGTTGCAGGGTTTCTGGAATGGAGTTTCAGAGAGCGGGGGCAGAATGGCTGAAAGCTCACCCATCGATGTTGGGATCCATAGCATGAGGAACATGATCAAAGGGAGCGGCCAGGTCAGTCGAGTTGCAGGAAGTTGCAGGAGGTAGGGTGGAGTGAGGCTGTGGAGAGATTTGAACATAAGCATGAAGATCTTGAATTTGATCTGCTAGAGAATGGGGAGCCAGCGGAGCTGAGCAAGCATAGAGATGATATGGTCACAGAGCCTGGTGCAGGAGAGGATATTGAGTTCTGGATAGTCTGCAGCATGAGTATGGAGGAATTAGGGAGTCTGTCAACTAGAGTGTTGGAAATAGTCAGATAATGAAAGCATGAATGAGAGTCAGTGACTAAAATGTTATCAGATTTCTTTCAAGGCCCAATGTAGATTGTAACCAGTTATAAAAAGGAGAATAGATGCTGTGGATATGCATTACAAGTCATGTTTTCTAACAACTGTGAAATGAATCGTGTTTGATATGCTCCAAATCAAATCGCATTACAGCACAATACAAAATCAAGATTTTTTGCTGGTTGGAGAGAGATTCATGTGTGATAGTGGTTTAATAATGTACATTAGCATGTATTTTCACTAGAGAATCAACAAGAGAGGTATCGATCAGTGGAGGCCACCTGTGGTCTGCAGGCTGAAAGTGGCACAAGTCTAGATAAATCCATGTTTGATCATTAATGCATTTTCAGATTATTTCTTAATTAGATATTTCTTGATTTATGGCCTAAATTAAGAAATATTCAATTAAGAAAATTTATTTTGTTAGAAACCATAAATGTTGGCCACCACACTGCCTCGAGAGGCATCTTTCCATATGTGAGAGGTACAAGATGAATAAGATTCTTCAGACCATTTGATCTCATCCATTCTGATACCCTGAACATTTGTAACTAACAGCATTCATTGCAGTCCAAAGTAACTCAAACTAAATCCTTGAATGTTTAGAAAACAAATGTCCTTTTGAAAAGTTATGCATCTGACCTTGAGCAAAACATTTCAAAAGATTTTCAGTAAAGCGTATGAGGAAGGTCCTGTCTGCCAAGAAGAGATGTGTCATTTTGTCTACAGATACTATTAATAGTGTGATGGAATAAAACATTTTAGAAGTTCCACCATCACCTTCCTCTTAAATTAGTTTTTTATGCATTTTAAACTATGGGACATGGTAAACAGTAAAGGGAATTGCAGAAGAATGTGAGAAGATATAAACAGGCTAGCAGAATGGCATATAGATGGTAAATGAAGTTTAATAGGAAAGTGCTAAGTAATTCACTTCTGCAGGAAAAATAAAGAAGCCATCTGTAGTCGAGAGATGGTAGAAACCTAAGAGGCGAGGAGGAGCAAAGAGATGCGGGGATTCAGATAGACAAATCTCTAAAAGTAGCTACACAGGTAGATAAGGCTATGAATAAAAGGCTGAGAGGGTATTGGGCTTTATAACCAGAGATAGAATGAGGAGATGTTGAATTTATATAAAATCTTTGTTAGATCACATTTGGAGTATTGTGTCTAATTCTGGTCCACGCACTATAGAAAGGATATAGCAGTGATGGAAAGAGTACAGTGTAGGATTACAAGGATAATACCAGGGCTTGCTGGTTACTGCTATCAGGATAAATTGAGATAGGTTAGATCTTTTTTCTCTAAAGACATTTAAAGGGCACCTAATAGAAGTGTTTAAAATTATAAAAAAAATGGGGGCAATAAGGTTGACATAAATAGGCTGTTTCCACTGGCTGTGGAGTCCGTAACCAGGGTACACAAATATAAGATAGCAACTAGGGGATCAAAAAAGAATTTAGGAGGAATTACTTCACACAAAGGGCAGTTGTGGAGATTATGGAACTCACTGCCTGAAGTGATGGTTGCATCAGAGTTATAGATGCATTCAAGAGGAAGCTTGGCCTTAACGAGAAAGAGGAATAGAAGATGTGGAAACGATTAAAGGACTGGGTAGGGTGCATTTGCAGAATAAACACGTATGGACTGGTTGGGCCGAGTGGCCTGTTTCCATAGTGTACATTCTTTGTCAATACTTTGTAAGTCATTTACAGTTTGCAGCTACCCATCTCCACCAGCTGTTGTATTCCAGTAAGATACAAGAAAGCAAATTTGGTGGTGTCATTTATAGTTTCATTGCTTCAGACGAGGCAATGAGATGTTATATTGGTGTCATTGACTCATTTCCCTTGGTTCATAAAGGTTCTGTGGCACTGTTAGTGATCAAAGTTCTAGTAATTGTATGCTTTTTCAGCTATGTTTGCTTTTGAGAAGTGCAAAGGCATTAGTTAAGAGGAACGAAAGCCCTATAATCTAGATAAGTCTGAAGGGTGGTGGAGGAGAGGGGAAAAGATCAGTTTCTAAAACGAAGCATACTCTACTGAACTGGCCACAAATCCTGGAGACTCGTGTGGAGTATAAACACTGGCATGGATTAGTTGGGCCGAGTGCAGTAATTCTTTGTATTCTTATTCCTTTGGATACATTCCAATACGGTGGAAGCCGCTTCAATTGCACATGTCAGGGCAGGGTGTTTTATCTGAATCGACTGGCATCCAAAGTTATCCAAAATCAATCCATTAAATAGCACCCAGTTTACTTCATTGTGTGACCTGTTACAGCACTAATTACACCTGGTACGTAAATAAAGACCTGAAAGAATGCTCAGTGATCATTTACAAAGGTGATTGTCTCTTTATAAACAGGAGGCTTTATTTACAATAAAGTGAAAAAGCAAGTTGTATAAAATCTCAAGTTACAAAAATGTGAACCTTTTTAATAAAAAAAATTCTCTCAAGTCAGACTGCACAAGATGAGTATAGCATATCTCCCTAATGCTCGTGACAATTTCATTGAAATGTGTTAGAACATTTGTAGGAAGAGAGCAGTTCCTGAGGTTGGTCTTACTCCAGTAATCAAGTTGTACAAGATGTTGTGGTACGCAGAGATGTCCAACTTACTGAGGTCGCGCGCCAGGCTCTCTGCTTTAGCTTTGAGGATGGTTCCATTGAGCAGCAGACCCTTGATGGATACCCTTTAGAACCACATAAGAAGAGCATAGTCCACCTCTGGATCTGTTCCTTTGCACTTCTTCTTCTTAAGGAGACCAACATTGCCTCAAGGCAGCTGTGTTGCGCAGCTTCTGTTTGTTGGCAATTAGGTTAGCCAGCATCGACTTCTTCACGTTGAGTCTTCTGGCTAGACCTCATAGAGGAGTTCCATGCTGCTCTTTTCTGACTTGGTCTAAAACTTCTAGCTTCTGTTGGTGCATTAGAGATACTTTCGTCGACATGATTTTGACACAAACTGATCGCGAGGGATGGGATGAGAGCTCTGTCTTTTTTAAAGCACAGTGCGAGAGCATTACATGGATTTTGCATGCAGACACACTTAGCAAATTCTCAAAGGTGCTGCTCCTATGTCAGCACCCGAGTGGATTATAAAAAAGGTCCATGCAGGTGCGACAACCAGTGCCGGATTTTGTCTGAATTATTCTGATTAATGTCCAAATAATCTGGAATAGTTTAAATAGGCTTACAATTGAAACAATTGGGAACTGGAGGTTTGTCCAAAACAAACGGTGTCCAAATTCAACGGCTTCCACTGTACATGACAAGTATAATAATGCATTCAAGTGGTTAGCCACAAGTGTAAGTCAGTCCATGTTCCATTATCATACCTAATCTGTGTATTGTCCAAGTTCATATAATATAATTCACCTTGTACAGTGCCTTTCATGGTAGGGAGGGTTGCCAAAAGAAGGGTCGAAGAGGAGGATCTTGAGACGTGCCTTGAAGGAGGCAAGGGAGCGAGGCGAAGGGATGGAGTTCCAATGATGGGGCGGGCCAAGTGGAGGACATGGAGCAGGCCAGAGCCCGCTGAACGAAGGGAGTGGACAGGTTGATAACCGAGGTTCCTGACTGCCTGCTCGTGGCATGACTCAAAAACAGAGGGGAGATTCTCCCAGTGTCCTGGTCAACAATCCCCCAAAATAAAATTGGTCATGCATTTCATGGCTTCACATTTAACTTTGTGGAGCATTGTTGTGTGCAATTGGACTGCGGCATTCATCTATAAATGTGTGTCAGCCTGGCTCAGTGGTAGTATTCTTGCCTCTGAATCAGAAGGTTATGCATTCATGTCACGTCAGCACTTGGAATCATATTGTCTAAGCTAATACTCCAATGCAGTGCTGGAGTTGCATTCTTGGAGGTGCCGTCAGTCAAATGAGATGTTTAACTGAGGTCCCATCTGCCTTTACAGTTGGATGTTAAAGATCCCATGGACCTATTCAGAAAGAGAAGGGGTTTCTCAGAGTGTCCTGGCCAACAATCCTCCAAATAAAATTGGTCAATCACTCCATGGCGGTTTGAGGATATTGCTGTGTGCAATTGGTTGCCATGTTTCGCCGACAAAATAGTCAGTCCATTTTACAATATATCCTGTGAAGTGCTTCGAGAGATCCTCCATACGTGAAAGGCACTATAACAAATGTAACGATTATTTTTCTCATTATCATCACTCATTACTACAATTAAATACCAATTAAATTATATTGGATACTAAAAGAGACTAAATAGACAACTATTAGATTTTGTTGTATAACGTTATGTCTAGCAGTTTACATGTTAATCTCAGGGATTCTCCAATGTGCCATTATACATACACCCTTTAATGTACACCATTTTGTGCACACGATGGCCCCACTCAGGTCATTTAGAACACTGATCTCCAGCCGAGGTCAGCCTACTCAGCACAGACCAAGGCTTATCGCAAATTTTGTCGTCTGTTGCTATGAGACTAAGTTGGTTTATTTAAGTCATTTTCATCCATCTCCACTGGAATCGCCAAAGAACTGAGAGAAGATGTAATCCCTCCATTGTTCAAGATGCCAGATTCAGGAACTGAAATGTTTAGAGACTCCACCACTCTCTCTGAATACAGTGGAACGAGGGACAACTTGAAAAGGATTTCAAACTGTTCTCTGGATTCTCCATCTTCTTTTTCCAAGCAAAGCTGATACTCACCAAACCGCAACAGGCCCCTCCTTAACAACTCTACCTTGTTGAGGTGATTCAAGATTGCAAAATCCACAGAGATTTTAGTCTTTAGGCTCAAATTTTTAATTTCAAAACAAAGTTCTGTACTTTCAAGGAATCTAACAGCCTGAATGCTGAACTGGATTCGTGAGGCCCGTTTGTCTATTAACGGAAAATTACAGATATTTGAGTCACGTCCAAACTTCAGCACCTCATCAGTTCGGAATTTCAACTTCTTGTCCAAAGTGAGAGACTGAAACACGGTCGGCTGTGGATGGTAGATATGGATGTTCAGACAAGTTATGGTCTCTTCCGTCTCAGCAGTTTCAAAGGCTGTTCTGTCACAAGACATTCTGTCAAGTTTATTCTTCTGCAAAGCAAATAAGTATTTGTGATGAGCACAATAACTGCACTGCGTACGCCACGAATGAAAACAATTAAGACATGGAGTTTTACCAAATCAATTTTGTGCTTTCTCAGCAATAATTTCAGGTGGGAACCATAAAATCTACCCATCAGAACCATTATAGTTTCAATGTCATTCAGATGCTATTTGTTCCATGCAAAATTGTACCATTGCATATTACCCGCTCTCGACAGAAACAGAGTTATTCAGATCCTGACCCAGACTAAAATACAATCTCTATTATTTACCAATGTCCATCATCAGCAGCACATTACTAACATACTACACTAAGAATAATAATCCTTGCATTTAATATAGTACCTTAATAATAATCCTTATAATAATAATAATCCTTGTATTTGATATAGCGCTTTTCACGTCAGGAGGACGTCCCAAAGTGCTTCACAGAACACACTGTAAAGTGAATTGACTGTATATTTATGGGCGAACGCGGCCGCCAATTGTACACAGCAATGTCCCACAAACAGTCGTAGATTGAAAATGACCAATTTATTATTGTTTTGGGTTTTGGAGGGATTATTATTAGGTTCTGTGTGGAGTAAGGAAACTTGCCCAAGGTTTCGCCCTCTGCCTGGAATTGAACTCAGGTCTCTCGCTTGCAAAGCGAGTGCTCTAACCACTGAGCTACAGGACAGCAATTAGAGGATATGGAAAAGAGCAAGGAATAAGAATGGCTGGCTTCTTGAAGGAGCAAACTCTGACATTGTATCATTCAGACAAGCAAGGAAGACGAGGTGGCCAGGGAGTCAGTCAAAGAGGTAAGGTTTTGTTTCAGAGGGATTTGGTATTGAAAGCAGAAAGGGAGTGAGCAAAATGGGAGGGAATTCAGAAGAAAGTGACAGAGTTACATAGAACAACAGTAAAATATCTGAAAGTTCACCAGACAATGTCTTAAAATTTAAGACTGTGGACAATTTGTCTTCAGGCTTTAATTTTAAGGCTTAAATTTTAAGAATTTTGTTTTTGTCAGCCAAATGTCTGACACACACGGAAATGTATCAGCACATCAGGAATTTGCAAACTAGACAGAATTCCATGCATGCCACCAACAAGTGGAATTTCATGTCTATTGAAGTAAAACAAAATATGAAGAGGGTCTTCTTAAAAAAAACTTCAAACAAGTTTTCTTTCAAAGTTTACATTTTAGAAGCTCTTAGATATCACACTCAAAAAACTGGGCTGTCCAGTTCAAAACTACACCAGTGAGTAACCTAATTTAAAAAAAACATTAAGCAAGCAAGCAAGCCTCAACTTGAGGAAACTTGAGAATATACAACTTGAGGAAACATGAGAATATACAACCCAAGAGACCAGAGTTCAATTCCAGGCAGAGGGCGAAACCTTGGGCAAGTTTCTTTACTCCACACGCCTAATAATAATCCCTCCAAAACCAAAACCAATAATAAATAAAAACAATAATAATGAATAATAAATTGGTCATTTTCAATCTACGTCTGTTTGTGGGACATTGCTGTGCGCAATTGGCTGCCGCGTTCGCCCACAAATATACAGTCAATTCACTTTACAGTGTGTTCTGTGAAGCACTTTGGGACGTCCTCCCGACGTGAAAAGCGCTATATCAAATGCAAGGATTATTATTATTATTATTATCATCTCTTCATCTTATTCTGTTCTCGTCTTCTCTTTACATTTTAAAAGTGAGAAGGAAATCTGCAATGTTTCTGTACTTTGAGGAGGAAAGGAGCAACTTCTTTTTTGGCTTTTCATGGTCCCTTTAAAAGACAGCTGAAGATCTGAGCGATGGTAAAGTGAATTAACTGTATATTTATATTATATATGTGTGAAGTATTGTATATTTGTGGGCAAAATGAAAATGAAATTAATGAAATAAAAAGAAAGGATAAGAAAAGGCCACTCATCCTACCTGAATCCAAAACTATTTGTGAATTCAACCTCACCATCTTCGAGAAAAGTTCTTCACCAATACTCCCTGATCCCCAAAGTAAAACAGGTCGAAAATACATGTCAAGTAATCTTCACATCTAAATAAATCCTCCGCATGGCAAACTATGTGGTTTAGCTGGTTTGGCTCCAGCAGGACACCAGTCCCTGGAGGCAGAGAGTGCGCATTCCAATAAATATCTCTGGAATTTCCAGGTGTAGGTGGGATGCGTGGAATTGGTTTGAATACTCTAAAGCATGATGATGAATTCGTGCATACGGGTAAATATATATATATATACCCGGGTGCCCAAAAGAAAACGGTTCTGCAGATAATATCTGCCCAAGTGTCAATAAGCATAGAAACATTGCTTTCTGTAGAGTCATTGTAGAGTAGCGCCTTGGGACGTCCTCCCGACGTGAAAGGCGCTCTATAAATGGAATCTTGTTGTTGTTGTAAATCTCAGTCCACACTTGCCCCCTTTAACAATAATAATAATAATCCTTGCATTTGATATAGCGCTTTTCACGTCGGGAGGACGTCCCAAAGCGCTTCACAGAACACACTGTAAAGTGAATTGACCGTATATTTGTGGGCCGACGCGGCAGCCAATTGCGCACAGCAATGTCCCACAAACAGTCGTGGATTGAAAATGACCAATTTATTATCGTTTTGGGTTTTGGAGGGATTATTATTAGGCTCAGTGTGGAGTAAGGAAACTTGCCCGAGGTTTCGCCCTCTGCCTGGAATTGAACTCAGGTCTCCCTCTTGCAAAGCGAGTGCTGTAAGCGATGCTATGTGGGGGTATGTTGACCGGGGCACACTATTCAAAAACGGAACTCACTTCTTTTTTTCTAAACGGTGCCATTGGATTTGTACAACACCTCTCACCGTGATGTCCTTACACTGAAGGACAGCAGCTCCAACAGTGCAGCGGTCTCACGGCGTTATCGGGGCATCAGTCCGGACATGAATAAACCTTAAGTCTTAATACCTTACGAATAAATCTTAAGTCGTTTAACTTCTGATGATTAAAACAAATGGTTGTGACGAACTGCAGCCGTTATATATACTCCATATACACACCTTCTGTTCCAACTTGTTCCGACTGGAGCTAACGAGAGAGAGGGAGAGAGGGAGTACCAACGTTGCTTGAGAGACGCGCTGCAGCTCTCAGCCTCGGCGTTGTGGCACTGCAGTGGATTGAGCCGCTGGTGGTGAGTGACTGACTGAGAGCTTTGCTGTTGGGAGATGCACTGAGTGAACAAAATATTAGTGTCGACGCTGTTGCGGTTAATGACATCTCCAGCGACCAATCGCACTCCGGGCGGCGCCTGTGCCCTGGGAACTGGAGGCCCTCCGCGGCTCTCCTGTGGTCTGGTCATCGTTGCCCCCGGGGGTGAGGGGTCGGGGTGAGGGGGTGGGGCTGAAGGGGGTGGGGCTGAGGGGGTGGGGCTGAGGGGGGCTGAGGGGGGTGAGGGTGGGGGTGGGGGTGAGGGGGTGGGGCTGAGGGGGGTGAGGGGGTGGGGGGGGGGTGAGGTGAGGGGGGGTGAGGGGGGGCTGAGGTGGTGGGGCTGAGGGGGTGAGGGGGGTGAGGGGGGTGGGGTGATGGGGGGTGAGGGTGAGGGGGGTGAGGGGGCTGAGGGGTGGGGCTGAGGGGGGTGAGGGGGGTGAGGGGGTGGGGTGAGGGGGGTGAGGGTGAGGGGGGTGAGGGGGGGGGTGAGGGGGGCTGAGGGGGTGGGGTGAGGGGGGGGTGGGGGGGTGAGGGGGGGGCTGAGGGGGGGGGCTGAGGGGAGTGAGGGGTGGGGCTGAGGGGGGGGGTGAGGGGTGGGGCTGAGGGGGAGTGAGGGGGTGGGGTGAGGGGGTGGGGGGGGGTGGGGCTGAGGGGAGTGAGGGGGTGGGGCTGAGGGGGGGGGTGAGGGGGGAGTGAGGGGGTGAGGGGGTAGGGCGGGGGGTTGAGGAGACAAGTCCAGAGGGAGCCCCGCGGGGCTGGGGACAGGTCACTGAGGGCCGGGAATTCTGGAGCTGTGACGTCACAGAGGGTCGGGAATTCCGGAGCTGTGACGTCACAGAGGGTCGGGAATTCCGGAGCTGTGACGTCACAGAGGGTCGGGAATTCTGGAGGTCACAGAGGGTCGGGGAGGCTGGAGCTGTGACGTCACAGAGGGTCGGGAATTCTGGAGCTGTGAGGTCACAGAGGGGCGAGGAGGCTGGAGCTGTGAGGTCACAGAGGGGCGATGAGGTCACAGAGGGGCGATGAGGTCACACGGGTCGGGAATTCCCCGCTTGGGGCGGGGTCTGGAATTTCCCGGAGAGCGGAGTCCCCCCAATGGTCGGGTTTCGCCGCTGCATTTTGCCGACAATCTCTCAGAGGCCCTTTTTTTTTTTGTTTTTCTTTTTCCGCGCGTCACTTTGAGAGCTGAACCTTACGGAGCAATTCACTGTGTGTGTGTGTGTGTGTCCGCTCCCGAATCCCTTTAACCCGGAAGAGGCCGCGAAAAAATAAATAAATAAATAAAATAAAAAAATCCGAGGAGGAAAAAAAAAGGTAACGCATCGTCGCGAGAAAGAAAACCGTATTTCCTTCAGAAGTCGCAGCGCTGTGCGTTGTGCACTGCGCAGAGGGCGCGGGGGGTGAGGTCGCGTTGACTGCAGTGTCGGGGTTTCAGACGGGCAAAGAGATTGAGCGCTGCGACGGAGGTGTACACCGGAGAGAGCGACCCCGATGGTGTGTCGGTGCTGCTGTTACCCGGTGGTGGGGGGTTGTTTTTTTTTGTGTCACAGTGTTAAGTTTGGTCCCCGATGGTCTGAATGCCGCTCCACTAATATTAATAATAATAATAATAATTCTTGCATTTGATACAGCGCTTTTCACGTCGGGAGGACGTCCCAAAGCGCATGGACTGAGATCTGGGCCAGTGAGCTCCTGGTCTTTGTCCATTGGGCTTCTTTATTCCTTGTGTCCCTTGTGATTTCTTCTGATCCCGTGACACCGCAAGATCAGTATTTGAACCATGAACTATCATTTGAAGTAAAACATTGAACGTAGACCAGAAAAGAAGATTGCTGTGGCTGCCAGTGTGAACAGGCTGTTTAGTCGGAAGCTCAGAAAGTCTTCTCCATTCAAGTCGCTTCACAGTGAAAAACCAACTGGGTTACTTTCCACTTGATCGTAAACTTACAGAGCCTTTAGTGGAGTCACTTATTATGGGAAAATCCCCAAATCACATAACTTGAGGGGAAAAAAATTACACTTATCACGGTTATAGGTTATAAAAATCAAGAGATTTGTCACAAATCAGATTTGTCTGATTGAGTAACAAGTCACTGAATTTAGTTGTTGTCAAGGCCGTGATTGCAGGGCCCATTTAGGCCTCTTGTGACCTTCAGTGGTAGCAGTCTGGTTACTAGGAGAATGCTTTTCTGTAGTATATTGCTACAGGGAGCAGAACTGATGGAGGTTGAACGGGCAGCACACTCTGTGTGCCCATAGAGGGAGAGAAAATATTCTTAAAATCGTACATCAGAGTGTTGTCCTGATATGCTTAACAACACAAACCCATAGATCGGGTGCGATGTTGCAGTTTATTTTGTGGGTATTTCGCCCACAAAACTTTGAACTCGCATCCTAGGCTGACACTCCAATGTAGTGCTGTGGGGGGGGGGGGGGACTGCTGCATTATCAATGGTGGTGTCCTTCGGATGGGGTCTAAAAACAAGATCCTATCTGTGTGTTCAGGTGGAAGTTAAATGCCTCATTGCACTATTTGAAGGGAGCTTTTCCTGATCTCCTGATCAAAATCCCAAACCATGATAAAATTGATCAAGGCAAGGACTATCATTATTGTTGTATACTGGTTATAAGATTAGTGCAATTTACGGAATTTAAATTGAGATTAGGTTTCGTTCTGCCATTCTTCGTTCTGCCACTTGAGGGCACACTCTATCCACCTCAGAATCTGCACAAATTTATCAATTTAGAAGTGATGGGGGGTATTGGAGTGTCAGCCGAGGTCACTGGTTACTGACTTAAAGCAGCTTAGTTTAGCAATAGCCAAGCAAGACCCAACATAGTTAGAATTGGTTTGGCGATTAAGCCATTGTCTTGGATTTCAACAATTTACACTTATATCGTGCCCTCCACACAGGGTAGTGTCTCAGAGCGCTTCTGAGGAATGAATGAAAACTTGCCAATTTTTTAATAACTGATGTTTATCACTTTGAATTTATTACAGAACATAGTTTTGCTGTATTCCTGAATCCAAACGAACCCACATGGTACATAACACTGGCCCAAGGAAATTAACAGATTCTATTTCTGATATTTTTAGTTATGGCAGGCAGCAGGAGAGGTCACAAGATCAAGGTTATGAAGGTAAGTTTAGGACAGACAACAGGAAATTTATTTTACACTGTGTCTGGTCAACAGCTGGAATTGTTAGCAGGGATGAGTGGTTGAGGCTAGGACTGAACCAGATTGCTACCGTAGAGGGTAGAAGATAGGATTGAAATTCTAATAGGAGGAGATCGTATGGGCTTCCCTTTTTATCCAAACACCTCTTATGATTTTGCCATCTCCGCATGTGCTAACAAACCTTTTCCACTATATGGGTCAGCATAATCTTTTGACTGATTTATTTTTCGACACACAGTCACTGACGTGTTGAAGGTAAAGTTTGTGCTGGGTGTCAATGCCCTGACATGATTGCAGTTGCTACATTGGAAACGCTCTCACAATGAATTTTAAAAAAGCAGCAGGATTTGAAAGGATGTCAATTTATTTGCGTCACTTGAAAAAAAATGTGAATCCACATGAAAACTGTTCAAACCAAGCTGAGGGGTATGGCTCCATTTACAAGTCTCCTTGTTATTGCACTGACTCAGCTTGTTTTAGGCACAGTTGAGCTCAGTATCTTTGCTGCCCACATGGCGGTGCCAGATGGTAACTTGTTTCATAGCCAACACTTGCCAGAATGATCACTGAGATACCAAGATGGCAGGCAATGGCTCAGCAGGTGAAGTGAGGGCTTCAGTAGAGCAGGGGTGGGGTGGGAAAGGGAGGGAGTTGGAGAGAAAAGGAAAGATGAATGTGACCCATTTCAGAAATCCTATTTTAATTGCCAATACAACAATAACAACTTGCACTTATTTAGCGCCCTCCACGCAGGGTAACATCTCAGAACGCTTAACAGTGGCGGAGCCTGACTCCGAACCGGGGGGAGGTAACCATAAGTACGGTCGAACAGGAAAGTTTTCAGGCGAGACATGAAAGAGGGGAGAGAGGGAGCAAGGCGGAGGGATTGAGGGAAAGTGTTCTAGAGTTTTGGAGCGTAGTGGCTGAAAGCACAACCTCTGATGGTGGGGCGGAAGGTCCGAGGCATAAGTAGGAGGCCGGTGCCAGTCGAGCGGAGGCGCCGGGTGGTGGACTGGGGAGTGAGGAGGTCAGAGAGGTAGGAAGGTGCCAGGGAGTGAATAGGTTTGAACACGAGAGTGAGGATCTTGAAGTTGACCTATTCAGTGATGGGGAGCCAGTGGAGCCTGGCCAGAACTCGTGAGATGTGGGTACAGAGTTTGGTCTGGGTCAGTATGCGGGCGGCAGAGTTTTGAATGAGCTGGATCTTGTGAATGGTGGAGCTGGGGAGACCGGTGAGGAGTGTATTGGAGTAATCCAAGCGAGAGGTGACAAACGCATACACGAGAGTTTCGGTTGCATTTGAGGTAAGGTACGGACGGTGGCTGGCAATGTGGCCGAGGTGGAAGAAAGCAGTCGGGGACCAAAGATGTGGGGGAGGAAGGACAGTTGGGTGTCGAACGGGACGCCTAGGATGCGCACTGGTTTGGTGAGTCCGAGGGAGAGCCCAGGGAGTTTGAGGAGTTTAAATCCGCAGGAGTGAAAACGTTGAAGGGAGCCAAGAAGTATGGCTTTCCGTCTTGTCCACATTCAGCTGCAGGAAGTTTACACTCATCCAGGCCTTGATGTCTGCCAGACAAGCTGGAGTTGGTACTGGAGGCAAATACCAATGTAGTGGTAACACTCGCCTCTGAGTCAGAATGTTACGTCAGGACTTGGAATCAAATCGTCTAAGATGACACACCGATGCAGTGCTGGGGGGGTGTTACATTGTTGGAGGTACCGTTCTTCGGATGAGATGTTAACCAAGGTCCCATCTGCCTGTTCAAGTGGACGCTAAGATCCCATGACACTATTCAAAAAAAGAAATGAGTGGTGCTTTGGGACATCCTCCCAGTTCGAAAGGTGTTGTTTCAGCTGCAAGGATTATTATTAATTGTTACTATAATTATTAAGGAGTTGGCTGAGGGTGAATTGCATTGTCAGA